TCATCCAGTCAGCCGCGGGTGATCAGCGAATATAACGCGTTGCCTGACACTCTCGCTAAAAGGAAATAAATTGTTTTCTTATAATGAATATAATGTCATGCCTTTATTCTTGTGTATGATTGGTGTTTTGGGTACTGTTGTCGCGATTAAACCAGTCAAATGGCCGTGATCCGACTGGCAGCTTGCAGACGCTTGCTGGACGCTCATCCAGCCAGCCGCCGCTGATTCAGCGAATATAACGCGTTGCATGACACTCTCGCTAAAAGGAAATAAATTGTTTTCTTATAATGAATATAATGTCATGCCTTTATTCTTGTGTATGATTGGGGTTTTGGGTACTGTTGTCGCGATTAAACCAGTCAAATGGCCGTGATCCGACTGGCAGCTTGCAGACGCTTGCTGGACGCTCATCCAGCCAGCCGCTGCTGATCAGGGAATATAACGCGTTGCCTGACACTCTCGCTAAAAGGAAATAAATTGTTTTCTTATTATGAATATAATGTCATGCCTTTATTCTTGTGTATGATTGGTGTTTTGGGTACTGTTGTCCCGATTAAACCAGTCAAATGGCCGTGATCCGACTGGCAGCTTACAGACGCTCATCAGTCAGCCGAGTCTGAGACTGCGAGTCTAACGCGTCGCCTGACACTCTCTCTAAAAGGAAATACATTTTTTTCTTATTATGAATATAATGTCATGCCTTTATTCTTGTGTATGATTGGTGTTTTGGGTACTGTTGTCGCGATTAAACCAGTCAAATGGCCGTGATCCGACTGGCAGCTTGCAGACGCTTGTTGGACGCTCATCCAGCCAGCCGCCGCTGAGTCAGCGAATATAACGCGTTGCCTGACACTCTCTCTAAAAGGAAATACATTTTTTTCTTATTATGAATATAATGTCATGCCTTTATTCTTGTGTATGATTGGTGTTTTGGGTACTGTTGTCGCGATTAAACCAGTCAAATGGCCGTGATCCGACTGGCAGCTTGCAGACGCTTGCTGGACGCTCATCCAGCCAGCCGCTGCTCATCAGGGAATATAACGCGTTGCCTGACACTCTCTCTAAAAGGAAATAAATTGTTTTCTTATTATGAATATAATGTCATGCCTTTATTCTTGTGTATGATTGGTGTTTTGGGGCCGTTTATCCCGATTAAACCAGTCAAATGGCCGTGGGCACATTATACATTATGACATTATATTCATAATAAGAAAACAATTTATTTCCTTTTAGCGAGAGTGTCAGGCAACGCGTTATATTCGCTGATGAGCAGCGGCTGGCTGGATGAGCGTCCAGCAAGCGTCTGCAAGCTGCCAGTCGGATCACGGCCATTTGACTGGTTTAATCGCGACAACAGTACCCAAAACACCAATCATACACAAGAATAAAGGCATGACATTATATTCATAATAAGAAAACAATTTATTTCCTTTTAGCGAGAGTGTCAGGCAACGCGTTATATTCCCTGATTAGCAGCGGCTGGCTGGATGAGCGTCCAGCAAGCGTCTGCAAGCTGCCAGTCGGATCACGGCCATTTGACTGGTTTAATCGCGACAACAGTACCCAAAACACCAAACATACACAAGAATAAAGGCATGACATTATATTCATAATAAGAAAAAAATTTATTTCCTTTTAGAGAGAGTGTCAGGCGACGCGTTAGACTCGCAGTCTCAGACTCGGCTGACTGGATGAGCGTCTGTAAGCTGCCAGTCGGATCACGGCCATTTGACTGGTTTAATCGGGACAACAGTACCCAAAACACCAATCATACACAAGAATAAAGGCATGACATTATATTCATAATAAGAAAACAATTTATTTCCTTTTAGCGAGAGTGTCAGGCAACGCGTTATATTCCCTGATTAGCAGCGGCTGGCTGGATGAGCGTCCAGCAAGCGTCTGCAAGCTGCCAGTCGGATCACGGCCATTTGACTGGTTTAATCGCGACAACAGTACCCAAAACACCAATCATACACAAGAATAAAGGCATGACATTATATTCATTATAAGAAAACAATTTATTTCCTTTTAGCGAGAGTGTCAGGCAACGCGTTATATTCGCTGACTCAGCGGCGGCTGGCTGGATGAGCGTCCAACAAGCGTCTGCAAGCTGCCAGTCGGATCACGGCCATTTGACTGGTTTAATCGCGACAACAGTACCCAAAACACCAATCATACACAAGAATAAAGGCATGACATTATATTCATAATAAGAAAAAAATGTATTTCCTTTTAGAGAGAGTGTCAGGCGACGCGTTAGACTCGCAGTCTCAGACTCGGCTGACTGGATGAGCGTCTGTAAGCTGCCAGTCGGATCACGGCCATTTGACTGGTTTAATCGGGACAACAGTACCCAAAACACCAATCATACACAAGAATAAAGGCATGACATTATATTCATAATAAGAAAACAATTTATTTCCTTTTAGCGAGAGTGTCAGGCAACGCGTTATATTCGCTGTCAGCGGCGGCTGGCTGGATGAGCGTCCAGCAAGCGTCTGCAAGCTGCCAGTCGGATCACGGCCATTTGACTGGTTTAATCGCGACAACAGTACCCAAAACACCAATCATACACAAGAATAAAGGCATGACATTATATTCATTATAAGAAAACAATTTATTTCCTTTTAGCGAGAGTGTCAGGCAACGCGTTATATTCCCCGATGAGCAGCGGCTGGCTGGATGAGCGTCCAGCAAGCGTCTGCAAGCTGCCAGTCGGATCACGGCCATTTGACTGGTTTAATCGCGACAACAGTACCCAAAACCCCAATCATACACAAGAATAAAGGCATGACATTATATTCATTATAAGAAAACAATTTATTTCCTTTTAGCGAGAGTGTCATGCAACGCGTTATATTCGCTGAATCAGCGGCGGCTGGCTGGATGAGCGTCCAGCAAGCGTCTGCAAGCTGCCAGTCGGATCACGGCCATTTGACTGGTTTAATCGCGACAACAGTACCCAAAACACCAATCATACACAAGAATAAAGGCATGACATTATATTCATAATAAGAAAACAATTTATTTCCTTTTAGCGAGAGTGTCAGGCAACGCGTTATATTCCCTGATCAGCAGCGGCTGGCTGGATGAGCGTCCAGCAAGCGTCTGCAAGCTGCCAGTCGGATCACGGCCATTTGACTGGTTTAATCGCGACAACAGTACCCAAAACACCAATCATACACAAGAATAAAGGCATGACATTATATTCATTATAAGAAAACAATTTATTTCCTTTTAGCGAGAGTGTCAGGCAACGCGTTATATTCGCTGATCACCCGCGGCTGACTGGATGAGTCCAGCAGCGTCTGTACTGCCAGTCTGATCACGGCCATTTGACTATTAAATTGCGATCCTACTACTAATAACAATAATTTCAACAGATACATAATAAATGAGCTATAAAGGGAGGAACACAAAACACAAAAACTGTCAAAAATCAATGGTTTCTGAAACTAGACTGACAGACAACCACTGGCAGCTGCCAGTCAGTCACGTGACCTGCCAGTGGCAGCTCCTGCCAGCCAGTTGAAGATTGAACCCCCACTCCATATTTGTTCAAAATCATAATTTGAAAAACAGTAAATCTTCAAAAACTCAACTTTTGTGTTCCACTAGAGAAATACAGTCATGGTATTTACTTTATAACGAAATGAGTGTGCATAATTGATGACAAAACAGACATTTTTGGTCTTGAGACCTGTCACATCGAGGCAAGAACATGAAATACATACTGTTATAGTATAGCGCCCTCTAGTGGACATCTAATATAGTGCAAATGCAGGTTTATGACAGTTCTAGCACACAGACAGTGTTCTAGCAGTGTAATAAAATAGACAACATTTGACATCTCTAGACTAAAGCTGCTGTTAACTGGTGAGAAGCACTTGAAAAGTAAGTGAACCAAAAAGGTAAAAATTGCCAAATGAGTAGTAAATTTGATCGCGGACCTCTTGACTGCTTTTGCTTTTAACTTGTAGGTAGCCATAATGATTTCTGTCAGTTTGATTTGAAAGCTGCTCTAGCAGCCACAACTCACTGCTGCCTCGACATTTACTACTGAATTATTAACTTAAATATCAAAATTTAACCTGGTGGTTACGGATAAATTAATTTACTATAAATTACAGATTTTTTAAAATTATTATTATTTGATTTTACGTACAATAACTGTGGTAACAGGGTTAACTTGTTGATGAATGTAGTCAAATAATAAAATGGGATTATTAAAAGTCCAAATGATGTCACTTCCTCAGTCTGGAAATTGTGGAAAGTTTTAAACGTAACAAAGTCTGCCATCTAATGGACGATGGGCGTAATAACAATCTGCGTTGTAGATCTACAACCTTTATTGCAAGCAAGCTCAAACTTCCATTTACCCTTTGAAATCCGGTTATTGTATTATACATTTTATTAGACCAAATCAGAGTCTGGAAACTTCGGAACATTAAGTAAATGAGAGTTACAGTATGAAATAAATGTTAGAAGCTGTCCAATTATACTTGATGGTGAGAGTTTCAGTCGTCTTCACTCCTCTCCTCTCCTGTCTCCCACCGAGTGAAGCTCAAAGCTCAGGTTCTGGATCTCCACACCATTCATAAATGAAATCTTGACTTTTTCTTTCCACAAGAACAGCACTGTCCTAAACTAATGGCAGTGGTGCTTGATGATACACAAGTCAAATATTTGTACACCCCTAGCCATTCATTATTACCGACTAAGATCAACCAGCATAAACCATCTTCAAGAGTTTACATGTATGCTGGGTTACTATTTGAAATTTTCATGTATGAACTTTTTTAAAAATTTACAAATGTACGCATGTATTCCCGATGTTATGAGACCGATCTATCCATCCATCCATCCGTCAAAACGTGCAAATATTCATTAATATGTATGTATTCATCCATTAATCCATCAACTGCTCAGCAGCAAAATAAATATAATTTGGTTATATATTAATGTGTAAAACAATGTGTAGCAAAGAAATAACAATATTTGCATTACAATATTCCAGCTTTATTCATATATTGCATTCATTTTGAATGACACATCGATCTACACGACAGCAGTCACCTGCACACCCACAGAGATGTTATAAAGAGTGGTCCTTCTCCCAGATAAAAAGCGTTCTGCATTGAGACCAGTAGTGAAGGATTTCAATTCAGGATTTAAAGAATGTGCAAAAGGGGTTTTCATTTAAACCCACATACCATCAAACAGTCAGCTTTTTATTTCTTTTTGTTTTTACACATTTGAAAATTGTATTAAAACATCTAAAAAGTCAACAAGAACACAACACTGCATTTTGTTCTCTTTGGTATTTTTTCTATTACTGATTAGAGACAATTTTGGTCTGATGCTGACAAATCACGGTCAAGTTTTAAAGAATCAGAATTAATTACTTAAACTACAATTGTAAAAACGACTTAAAACGCATCTAAAAGGCAGCAAAAGAAAAACAAAAACAGAAATATAAAAACCCACATCCAAAAAGAACATTTCTAAATGCAAATACTGAAGCCATGCATAACAAATAAAGCCATCAGTCAAACCCCATAAACTTCAAGCTCATAATACTCACTGTACAGCTCACTGTATGTACACATTTGCTGGTAGAAGTAATAAATAGATCTGTTGGTATATCCATGAAAAAGTTAAAAAACACAGTCCACAGCCCTTATGAAAAGAGAAGAATATGAACACACTGGTTGTCTGATAAAGTGGACGCATCAGTAGTCAGCTCAGTCCTCCATGCTGGTGTAAGTCATGGCATTAATCCCTGGTCTTTTCCTCCCTTTGATCTTCAGAGATCCATAACGGGCCTGCGACCAATAAATCACAAGCATTTGTTACCAGAATAAAAATGAAGAGGCAAGCTATAAACAATTATAATCTCAAGAGAATATGATCTGATGAAGAGCTGTAATAACTAAATGATAAAAATGGCAAATAGCAAACGTCCATCAGTGACATCACTTTAAAGTAGTAAAACAATGGATTTGAATACTGGGTAATCTCACCATGCATAATTTACATTTTACTATACTATTCTTACCTGTTAAAGTAACCAAATCAAACTCATGTGAATATTTCAATTTCGCAAATCAGCCTGTGAGAGTTGTGACTTCTTACAGCGTGCAACATGCGCATGTCATCAAATGCAATGCAACAGAGGAAAAAGGGCATCATTTATTAAAAAATAAATAAAATTATAATTATAGCTTTTGACCAAATAATATTGATTGTTGCATGGGAAATGTAGGTTTTTACATTAACTGAAATTTACATTTATCGCAATAATGTTTGTTGGCACAAAAGTTACTATTATAAGCATAATGATGATGATGATGATGCTGATGATGACATAATTAACAATTACACAGTATATATAAATATATAAAATAATATGTTGCTTTTGAAGAATGCAAATAATTATTTTAGGGTGGGTTGCACCAATAAGGATTAATCTTAAATCTAGGTTAAATCCAGGTTTATCTTATAATTCAGTTGCACCAAACTTTAAACCTTGTTTAAAAATAAGCAGGTTTACATGTAAACCATCATTTTAATCCTAGATTTAGGCTGAATCCCAATTCTCTGTCTTACCCCTTCCCCTTAACCCTTCCCCTTTGTCTTACCCCTAGCCCTTGTCCCTCGAAAACGAATGGTAAACGCTAGTGCAAACATAACCCTATGAAATGAGGCACCACTCGGTTACGTCATCTTACATCGTCCTTAACTGGCGTCCGTGTCACCCGGGGCAACAAGTGTTGATCACAAACTTCTCGAAACTTTCAAGATGCCATCAAAATGTCCGGGATTGGGCTTTTGCTTTGCATCTTCACTATTCATTATGTTTACATGCACAAGGTGTTGTTTCAATCGGACTGAATTCATTCATTTAAATCGGTGAATCTGAATGTATTGTTGATCTAATATTCCCGTGTTTTCTTGGTCTTAAGGGGTATATACCCCTTCACCTTACCCCTACCCCTAGATCAAAATGAGAATTGGGATAGCCCTTCCTCTCACGTGAACGCGCAAAACTAAGGGGAAGGGGTAAGACAGAGAATTGGGATTCAGCCTTAAAGCCCCTCTGAAATCTAAATTTAAGTTTAGCTTTTAGTATGAACATGTTTGCCTCAAAGGAGTAGTTCACTTTAAAAAAAAAAAAAAATTGCTGATAATTTACTCACCACCATGTCATCCAAAATGTCCATGTCTTCCTTTCTTCAGTCAAAAAGAAATTAAGGTTTTTAATGAAAACATTCCAGCATTTTTCTCCATATAATGCACTTCAGGTGGGAACCAAACGGTTCAGGGTCCAAAAGACACTTTCAGTACAAACTGCAAACTGTTCAAAGGGCTTTAAACGATTCTAGATTATGAATAAGGGTCCTATCAAGCGAAACGATCGCTAATTTAATAAAGAAACAACAAAGTTTAAGTTTTATAAGCTCAAATTGTCGCCTTGCTCTGTTCTGACGCACGTTTGTGACTCTCCTGTTCAAACTCGTTCATCAAAATGAACACATTTTTTTCCGTGTCATTTTTGTTCATTCAACGAACGAAATGAACGAATTGACTCGGGAAAAGATTCGTTCATTTTGATGAACAACTTCGAACAGGAGAGTCACAAACGTGCGTCACAGAATAGAGCAAGGCGAGCATTTGAGCTTATAAAACTTAATCAACTTTTTTTTTTAAATTAGTGATCGTTTCGCTTGATAAGACCCTTATTCATCGTCTGGAATCGTTTAAAGCCCTTTGAACAGTTTGCAGTTTGCACTGAAACTGTCTTTTGGACCTTGAACCGTTTGGTTCCCACTGGAAGTGCATTATAAGGAGAAATGTTTTCATCAAAAACCTTAATTTCTTTTCAACTGAAGAAAGAATGACATGGACATCTTGGATGACATGGGGGTGAGTAAATTCTCAGCAAAAGTTTTTTGAAAAGTGAACTACTCTTTTAAGGTTATTAATAAGCTGGTGTGTTCCAAAACAGCTTCTCATCACATCTTCTGTCCAATCAAATGCTTTCTATAATCTAAAGCGTCCCGCCCCCTATGTTATAAATACCACCTGCCCAAAGTGACCATTGTCACGTCATGGAACTATACGGGTTGGAGATGTGTTTTTGGTCACCCAAAGGCTTGAGTTTTATTACGTTTTCCAACTGTACGTTGGTTAAGAATAAAATGGCTAAAATTGATTCACACCTCTGCTACTTCAAATCCATCCATCAGTTTTTAATCACAGGTAAGAATTCTAATCCCTGATTTGTTAATCTGCGTTTAAAATTAAGTGGTGCAACACAACTCGATTTAAAATGAAGCCCATATCAACAAATCCTAGATTAGCTGTAAACTGTGCTAAATTGAATCCTTGTTGGAGCAACCCACGCTTTATTTAATGTTTATTTAGTCTTGGAAGAACAAAATGGAAATGTGCTATCGGGTTTAGATGGACTTACATCTCTGCGCACTTTTGAGCGGGTTATTTTGACGCTCTGAGATCGTCTGAGCCCATGATGAGACACGGCTTCATCTTCAGAGAACACAGCCTTCCCCTCGTCATCACTTCTGTCATTGTCATCGCTATGATAATATTCTACAAAAGAAACAATTTGAGAGTAAAAAAAACAAGATGAACATGTAGATCAGAGTATGATCACACATAACAGCAGACAGAAGAGCAGGTATGATCGAGATCAGTGCCATTTAAAAGCTTATCCTTCAAGACAGAATTTACACCAACATCAAGTGAGACCAGGTAAAGAACTAAAGACGTTATCTATAACACAAATATGTTCTACATTGAAGACCGAGCAGAAACCTTTTTTTTTTTTTTTACATTTATGCACTTTGCGATAATTCCATATAAATCGATAATATTTGAAAGCTTATTCCAAAGCTTAAAATTTAATATTTTTTAATTTTTGAGAGCCTAATTACAAAAACAAGTCCCAACATTAAAATTCCTTTCCCAAGGACACAATTATAATGTTCTCATTATAAATGTATGTAGCCTATATGACAGACTTGCACTGCACTTAACTGTATTTTCCAAAGTGATCCAAAGTAATTCCAATCATATTTTAAGAAATTTAAAAGCATCATGGCAAACACTGCACATCTTAAGTGTCTCAGATGAAGGAAATTATCCACTATTTATCGGACAAATTTTCTTATCAAGCCGATGACGATAACTTTACTATGATGTATTTAAGTTTGCAAAATTTGTTTCGAAGGCGAGCTAGTGTGTTGAACTAGATTTAATTTTGTCTTATGTAGGATTATGGGTTTAGGTTTGATATTTATTTGAGTATATATATTTAGATCATTTATGTATGTTATATACATTTATGTCTATGTATATACAGGTATTAAGATTATCACTTTGTTCATAATTTTTGTCTCTATTTGGTTAGTTAGGTATATGATGTAGCCTGGACCTGGCTATCTTGTATATTAATTTTTCTTATATTTCTGTATATTATTGTTGGTGTCTTGTAAGCCCATTTGGGCTGAGCATATGTATACGCATGACAGAATAATAAAGATTCATTTATTCACTAAAAATGAATATATATATATGCGTTCCAATATATAATCGTATATATTGGCCGATACGATATACCGATATGGTGGCTGATATATCGTGCATCTCTACATTGCAATCAAGGTATACATTTTTATCAGTTCTTGCTTTCCCTGGTAATCAAACCCATGACCTCACCGTTACTAGTGCCAGGCTTTAATGTTTAAACTACAGGAAGGCTAAAATACTTTAATATTACAAGCAGCATAGGAACAACAATATGCAAATTGACAAAGGTGACAACATGCTGGATAGGAAACCTGTGACAGATACATTTGTTCCAAAATACAGCAGAATTTGATTGAATGTCAACTAGGTGTGGAAAGTGTTTTCTCCTCATTTTAAGAAGTTGATAAGTCTATTTATTTATCCAACTGTGCATGATTATTTGTTTATTACTTTGCATTTAGTATTGCTTGTCCTTGTCCATGACCCTATTCGAATAGATCTATTTTTGGGTCACGACTGACCGGTTGAGAACCACTGATCATGTTTATTTTGAAGTTTGGGAATGTGATTTCAGCTGCAGAGAAAGTACAAGTGGGGGGAGAGAGAAAGAGAGAGAGAGAGAGAGAGAGAGAGAAAGCAGCTGCCGGGTTGAGGCCGCTCCTGGCACCATCACCTCTGGGCTCCCCGGGTGGTGCTGGGAGCTAGGCAGAGCCAGCCTGTGCCAGGGTGCCTAAAGGCAATCCAGCTTGAGCAGATTCACTGCAAACTCCATCACCAGAATGATGCCACAAAAAGACAGGCTATAAACAAGACCATACAGCACTGCACAGAACTGCAGGCTTAATTTAGTTTTGTGTGTGCAGTTCTCCTTTCCACCATCAGGGGGCAGAATAAATACAGAAACCAATGGTTCTGAAGCCTTCCTTTGTTTGTTTCCACACCCACCGCTGCTTTCAATAAATAAAATAACAACTTCCGTGGGATTTGGAAAACTATGCAATTCATTTTCCAGAATCATTCTATTAAGGCCCTCTGCAAACTAAGCAGAAAGAGATTTAAAAGGCGACAAATATAAAGAAGCATTGGCATGTCTTTGTTATATAGACTGATAGCAGCTCTGAAGGCCAATTAGAACCAGGAGAGACACAACTTCTCTCAACCTTGGCATGAATTTTATTGAGCATCTGAATAACAGTCGTAATATTTTGTAGGCTATACAACTTATAATGTGTATATACACATAATGGTTTCCGTTTAATTTTTCGAGTTTAGAATAATGGAAAATTATTTTTTAAAAAAACAGATAAAAATTGTCACACTCTAGGAAACTTATTGGGCAAATAATAAGCACATAAAAATCATTGCAATATTCACAATGTTTATATTGCTAGCTAGCGAAACCACTAATATCAGACCCCTGTACTCAATAAGTATGAACTTAACAATATACACAGGCATGTTTTATGTCATGCCTGTCATTCAAAGCGGACTTCTGCATCTTTAGAAAAAGCGAAACCCAATATTAAAATGTGGCCGAATAAATAACACACTCGAGCCTCTCTCTTCATAGGCTATCCCCTGTTTTTAAATTCAAACTGCAATTAGCAGCTCGTTTGATCAGTCGGGATCTTTCACCTTGGCTTTGAGCCTCTGAAAGGGAATGCCATTTTGGAGGAGCTGGCTTTCTGATGGCTTCATTGCGGACGAGATGAAAATGACCTGGATGCCAGCGGAATTTCAAATGCGGCGGGCACATTAGCATACCGAGATAGAAGCACATTAGGTATTCTGCTCAGAGGCTCCCCGAGCTGTTTTTTCCTCTTCATCTTCTCACAAAGCGGCACTAGACTACACCTTTCATGCTAGGAATGTGCCTTTATCACTTATAGCCCTCCGTTGCTTGAGACAAATACCGAATCCATTCCATTTGCTCGAAAACCAGTTAAAACTGCCGTGATTTCCAAAAGCGTGTGAGATTTGGTTGAGATACCATTATGAAAGCGCTATGGATTTACGCTTTCCCAGCTCCTGCTGTTTGGTGTCACACAAAAGCTGTCTGATACCTCGCAGGTGACAACATCGCACATTCAGAATAAACATGTTGTCTGATAGAGCAGTTATTGCATAACAGTCTATTGTTTATGATTGTGAGCATTGTTGTGTGATCACCTCTAAAGCTCAATTAAATTTGTTCGACATCATTAGAAATGACGTTGCAATGCATTGGAAGCTCATTTGAAACATAGTTGCTTCATAAAAATACTTATTGTGTGACTAAACAGGCAAAGCAAGGCATCTGCCTTCTGTTGTGGACGCAGCAGAGAAACAGCTGAGCGAAAGGAAACAAAGGATGGCGTGTTAATAATTAATCTGAGGTAAGATATACCAGCTCCGTCGGGTTGGTCCATGTTGGCTCTTCTGGCAGGGTTGGAGCCGTAGGATGAATATCCGTCGTCGTGAGGGATCTGGGTAAGGTCGTGCATGCTGAGGCTCCTGAGCTTCTCTGTGATGGCACCTTGACCCTGTAGAGACAAAACAACCCCCAGTTATGATAAACATGTCAGCGCTGACAACACACAGAACAGCTTAGACAGAGCGTAACAAGACTGCATGGATTCATCACGACATGCATGTATGGATGAATGTTAAAAAGATTTGGGCTCTGTTCCTAGTGACCTGCTCCGGTGTCAAATGAACCTCTGGAACAAATAGCGCTCCTCACATGACTCGGTTTTTCTCAACGGGGTTGGCATTAGCATGTCAGCAGTGAATTTATTGATTAAACAATGAATTGGGGCCGGTTCACGCAGAATGCAGTTTTTTATTTCACTGCGCTAATTTTACATAGTTTTTCAGTGTCATTGCACTAGAAGGACATGTTTTAGCGTTGTGCGCACACATCTTGTGCAAGACACAGTGTTCTAAAAATGTTAAATGAAGTTAAAATAAGTTTAAAAATCCAGTTGATAAAACGAAATCGGAATTAGCCTTTCGCCGAGCCCCGCCCCCCTTAGTTACTGCTGCTACCTCCGTCAAACAAATGGTCAAACACGGGCAGCGCGACAGATTGCCATGACGGCAAAGGGTATTCCCGTGCGTGTCAGTGACCTTTTTTGGAGCAATACCTCCGCGATATCAAGCAAGATCGAAGCAAAAGGGGTTACGGTATGCGGTGGAGGGATTTATTCCAAATATAAAATTAAGAAATGAATGAGACACGACTACTATTGATGCTAATGCTTACCAGTCTCAAGAAAAATCAGAAAAACCCCATGACCATGCTAAGTTACCTCAAATGCAACCAGCACAGCCTTGAAGATTTTATAAACTGGTTCAGTGGCTAATTGTTTGGAGTTCGAAATATATAACTTGCGCTGCATATTTATTCATTTTGCCTCCGATACAGGAGTAGCACGTTCGCTTTAACAAGCAGGTTGTTCATTACCAAAGCAACCGATTGCGTGTCATGCTCATGCTGAATGCGATTTTCGTGTTTAAAAAGTAACTAACGTTATGCATAAGAGACGGAAAGAGGCAGAGAACCATACGTTATTTAAGGTTATTTCTATTCGTTACGATATTGATATATGAACTGATGTTGTCATGTAAGCTTCATGCTTTCCCCGTTGCGAACGTCCTCTAGTCTACGGTGCTGCACTGCTAACTTAGCTGACTGCTGCTCATTTTCCCAGATAATATCATGGTATGTTAACAACAACCCTTTAGAAAATGTACAGTAAGTCCTTTGTGGATCCTCTTGATCTGCTTTCTCCGTGCTTCTTTGACTAATCTCAGTCGCACGCACGCTGCACGCGAGACGAGTTAACCATGTTCGACACATTTAACTGGAATTGGGGCGTCCACACTGTTTAATACATCTTAGGCACCGCTCGCGTTGTGTTTTGGGCTTTGGAAAGGGAAAAAACACAACTTCTCCAGACAATCTCTCGGGGTATCATGTGTCCGATTTACTAACGCCGTGGGCGCACCGCTTACTGTTTGACGGAACAGCTCACACAGTAACGGTTGCTATGATGTGTGATTTGGACAATGACCATTTTGTGGGAGGGGCCGGCGAAAGGTCAATTGAGAGGAACAGAAACTAATATTCACTGGATGGTCATATACCTTTTCACCACTAGATGGGGGTAAAAATTACACAGTGTAGCTTTAATATTGTTGTTATTTACAAGAGTGACAACTGAATTCTATTGGCCAATTCAGACAGCACAGACAAACACCAACAAACCAGTTGGCCGATGGATTTTGCATTTTATGAAAAATAACTGTCATATGAAGTGTTCTTGGTTTTGGAGGAGAGCTTAATTGAAGATCGATTTATAAAAACTAAACTTTGGCTGAGAACAATAATACAAGCAGTACTTAACACCCCGTTTGAGTCAGAAAAACTATTTAAAAAATGAAAAAAGGAAACAATGAACTAAAAGTTGTTAAAATGATATCAACAACATGCCGTAGACACCGTGGAATTACCTGCACTGGAGAGAGCAGGGCTGCAGTATTCCTATAGGGTAGTATATGTCAGTAACAAGAAAAAGATCATCACCAGAGAGATTTCACAAATAAAGCAGAAAGAACATGCCAGAAAAAGAGTAAAAGGAATGAGAAGGAGATTATACTGGGAAAATATGGTAGCTTTCGAAAATAGAGATTGTCAAGCCTTTTAAAAGCTTATTAGCTCAGCTTTAGAGATGTCTTTCAATAACGGCATCATTTCAGAGAGTCTGGGCAGGACAGGGGCCAAATGAAAATTGGAGCATTGTTGAGCAGCCCTGTGATCTGCTTCTGATTAGTATATCAGCATGATTTCCTTTACGAATACTAATGGCCTTGGGTTGGTTTCACAAAAGAACAGTGACCTTTGCTTGCAAATGAAAGTCATTAGCGCGTCATTTATTGCTGGTATTGCAGATTTGTGCCAGTGCACTTGTGCTCTTTGCTACATTAGGAAAAGGAAAAGAGTTTAAGGTCAATATGAAACATCATTTGCAACACTTTTACTTTCATAATGTGATGTACACTACCATTCAAAAGTTTGGGGTTAGTAAGATTTTTTTTAAATAAAGTACCTTATGTTAAAAAAATAATAAAAGATAGATGGATAGAATTGAATCTTTCAGAAAATCATGAAAGTGCATTAATTGAAAAGTTAATAGGGTCCATTTTCATTTCATTTTGACTTACACACTGGATTCAGAACTCTCTCTAATTCTGGTTGTCTACCTTCAAAACTTACACACACACACACTTGCCTTGACAGCGGCAGACACAGCAGCAGTTGCAGCAATGCTCAGTCCCTGCTTGCCGAAGTTCACCATGGTCTCGTAGCTTCGCTCTTTTGCCTGGATTATGTAGTCGTCAATTTCCTTCAAGAACATTAGGACAATATTGAGGCCTTCCTGGTCTTCAGGCACAGTATCAAGCAATATAGTATACCAATAATATAATAATACACTACTGGAAATGAACAGCAGCACTAGACCACTGGTGGTCTGATCTTAAAAGGTCACAGAACAACAGGGAAAAATAATAACCAAGTTCGCCTTTCATTTTGTAGTATGGTGAATACGAACACAACATAGGTGCTGCTTTGCAAACCCAGTGCTTTAAGAGGTAAAAACATATGAAGAGGAGATTCACCCTTTCTTTGGAGGAAAGCAGAGGATGGAGGGCTTTTCTGTAGATGACACTAGCTCCTCTCGTGTAGGGAGACAGAAGCCAGATCACAAACGCAACCTTGATCTCGTAATATAGGGGAAACCTTTAGATCAGAGTAGAGAAAGAGAGATACAAAGACCCCCGTTACATCAGATTATTCGCCGACATAATTACACTCATTAAAGCTGTATTCCAACAAATTAATTTGTGCTACTCTAAATTAAAACAGCAACTTCGTTTCATTAAGCCCTGATTGCTTCCCTGCATTCCTTGGTCTAGGGAAACAAAAACAAGATCTTAAATGAAACGGCTTGCTTCTTTAGCCTGACATGAATCACTTGTAATCAGGTGATGTGTGAAGTGAACTCACCAGGCTATGGTTAGATCTGAGATGGTCTCCACTACTGTAAACAAGGCAAAGACAATCCAGTACATCATCCATCGCACCTGAAAAAGGAACAAAACAGCAAACAAACAAAAACAACGTTTATGTTAAGTGCACTGATAAAAAAAAAGTGACCTATACCAGTAATCGATAAAGATTTTTAGGAGTTCTCGCCCAATACGGAACCATACTGCCAATCCAAACTGTATGCTAATTGTCAACCACATTTGACGATAGTGGCCTTGACTGTACATTATACCACTATGAGAGACATGAAACTAACATGGCTATGCTGAAAAATAACTGTATATGACAAATGGTCATATATACAAAGTTGTTTACCATCAACACCAATTTTCAAATAAGTTTTTGCTTCAAATAATATGTTGTAATGATTCCCTTTGTATATGGCTGGTTTTGTTCATGGCTATAAAACCTTTAATTAAGACTTTTAAAATTCACCTTTTGCGTGGAGCTTGATTGACAGGAAATCTAACCAATCATAGCGCCGACATTTTGTGCCCCCCGTGACGATCCGCCATTTTGTCCGACAAACAAGCCAGTCAGATAAACCAGGTGTAGTTGAATAGCAACGGCGATTAATTAAGATAATGGTGAAACGGTGTTCATATCGGACTTGCTACACAGACAACAGGTACCCAGAAAGGCTTGGCAATGTACAGTTTCACCCGTTCCCTAAACCTGTCAGTAACCTGGAGAGGTGTATGAAATGGATACATTTTTGTGGACGTTAAAGCACAGTAATAATGTCACAGTAGTTAGCTAACGCTTGCTAGGATGACTTCCTGATTGTGTCGTTATAAATGTATACTACTTTTGGTAACGCTTCCTTTTACAGTCCAGTTATCCATGTAAATACTATGTACTTATTTTAGGAACTACAATTACTGTGTAATAACTAGTACTAACCCTGAACCTACCCCTAAACCTACCCCGGTTCCATGTACTTACCTTACTTTCTAGGTAAGTAATTACACTGTAATTATACTGCAAGTACTGTACTGTAAAAGGAAGCATTACCCTACTTTTGCTTTTTAATTATTTTAATAGTGAATACGAGCTATATACCCAGTTTTACAGGAACAGTGTTGTTCATTAATGTTATCCTTGGTCTCAATCGCCAGGTGATGCGGTATTCACTTTTTCCCTGTGACCTGTAGGCCATAGCTTCAAACTTGATTTTGTTTTTTTCATTTCGAGTCACATTCAGATCCTGAATATATCCCTCGAAAGCATATTGCAGACCTTTCTGTCTGAGATCAACAAATTATTTTTCTAGAAATTATTCACTATTTCGCCAGGGAGTGAACAAATTAGTAGTGGAAGTGCCATGGCTGGAACCGGTTGTTTGTCGGACATAGCGACAGTAACTAAGGGGGGACGGGTCTTTGCGAAGGGTCAATTCCTATGGGAAAATACTTCTGGAATCAATGTCGCTAAGAAAGTGGGCAGGCACTGTTGCACTCCATGATGGACTGATGATACGCATTTTTGAATCCCAAAGTACAATAACCTCTACTCTTAATGTAGTCTTAGCCTCAGACGTCACGCCGACGGACCACTGGCTGAATGTCTGATGCATATGCCACACTTAACTGGAAACTCTTCAGGATTTTAAAAGTTGTCATTTGATTGGTTGAATTCTACAGTATGTCGGAGAGGCGTGCGTGTTGCGTTCTTTAACGGTCCGCCTGTAAACGAAGATGCCGTGACGCCAAACCCCCTCACGGAAGAATGCAGTTGTGTTTACAACTTTGACAATGAGCGCGTATCTCGATCAACAAAATGTTGGATTTTCAAGTAGGTGTAAAAATAAAACGGCCCTTAAATACATCCAAGAGTTTTGCACACCAGTCTGTTATTGTGGGGATATCGACATAACATTTTCACACCCCTAAACGTGACGTAGAACAAAACAAACTGTGATTGGTTGTTTTAAGCCTAGTTCACACTACGTGATTTTAAGCCCGATTTAAGCCCGATTTGCAAATCGTTGAGTCGCCGACAAGTCAGGGTGTTATCGCGTGCAAATCGCGGGCGATTAGCGGACGATTAACGCTCGCCAATCCGATAGTGTGAAAGAGCCAACAACGCATCAAAGACAGCTCGCAGACAGCTCGCAGACAGGTCACCGAGCTCAGAAAAATATCTAGCATGCTAGATATCTCGAGCAGTCGCGCGACTCAATCTCAGTGATGTCATGAGTACAGCCAATCATAGCAACGCATGGGTTGAGGACACCAGGTAAATCTTACTTTTTCTTTTATGCATTTTTTTTTTCTCAGAGCAGATCGTTGAGCAAACAGTGTGCAGCACTAGTTTCTGTCTGACGTCCATATTCGCGTGTTGTGTTCTTCTCTGCAGTTTCGCGTCATTTCTGGTTCGTTTTATTGCGTGGTTTTTCGTGACAAAACATGGTTTCTAGACCAGATAGAATCGTGTTGTTGTCAACTCGTATTTGTTTGATTATTTTCAGGATTTAGACCGTACTATAGTACTGAAACAGCTCTCATTGAGTCACAAATGATATGCTCTTATCATGTGATCGTGGTTGTATCTCTATGTAGTGCGTTGTTAACTCGTGTAGTGAGTTACCTCCTGTTGTGGATCAATCACGCTGTGTTGTGTGGTGTGAACAGCTAAACAACTTGAACACTCATGATTTCACTGAGAGCAAGTCATGTAGTGTAAACTGCACAGTTCAGCCCGACATTTTAAAATCATGTAGTGTGAACTAGGCTTTACATGACAGTCAGAAGTCTGTGCGGTCCTTAGCCAATGAAAGCTGCTATGGTGTCCAGACCTTCTGCTGTCAGTCTGAAGGTCTGGCTACGCAAGACTACTCTTAATGCAGCATTGATCACCTGATGCATCACAGTCACCCAAACATAAAACACCTGACACAATGCTAAAGATATATTTAAAAAAAAAAAAATCATGCATTTTTTATTCTATTCAATAGCGTCGTGAATGCCTAATCTTTCCACACAGAATGGCTTGCTAACACAAATCCATGCACACCTCTTTTCCTAGGAGGAGACGGAAACAGTCAAGTGTAACAAAAAAATCATTACGGCCGTGACATTAATTTCCATCCCGGCTCTCTGTGCGTGTCTCTCTGCAGCAAGACCTGTTTGGTATGCTCTACCTCTCCTCTGCTCTCAACCACAGTGCGCTTTCAGCCAGCTTCTTAGCATTTCAATTTCAAACGCCCGTGCAGACAGTCATGTGATCCCCAGCCTTGAGCTGCAGCTCTCGAAGGTATTAGGTGATATTTTCAGCCTCACTGAACAAAGTCAAATGAATCCATGCAGAGGCAGCATTACCAGCCTGACAGGAGGCGTCAGATTTAATTGGTGTCCTCCCAATGAACCTTCAGCGGTCCGAGAGAGATCAATGCGTTGCATCAGCCGCTGGGAAGCTGTCGCTCCGTGACAAACTGTCAATCGAAATCCACCAGCAGTGAGCTTTCCTAGTAGCCGGAGCGCTTTGGTTGCTGACCGCATCGATACATAAAATCTAATCCGACATAGAAGCCTTCCTCCCATAATCCTCCAGACAATCCTATTTATTACAAGTCTGCAATTACCTGGCTTCAATTAGAGAAGCATACGAGATAGAAGCGGTTGAAATGCTGCTTGCATCTCGCAATAAAACTGGGTAAAAGGCGATTAAATAATGGGCCAGCGCCCAAGACAAGCATGCCTTTCCCGTTCAGCACTGCATGTGGATAAGGAGTTGTGTAGACTCGATTTCCAATGGAAATAAAAGCCTTTGAAGAGTCCTGATTGTCAATGGACGTATTCCTTTCCTGCTCTGCGTGTGCACCATGAGTTTCTTTGTTCAAACATTTAAACTGAGCAGTTAGACATATGAGCTGACCCACTGTTTATCTAACAAACAGGAGTTGTAGGCATTGTACAGATTTGCGCCGAGTAGAAAAACCGCAGCGTGGTTTCTAAGAGCATCTAGTCTATGCTAGTAAACACAGGCTTTGTCAAGCTGCCTTTAAACTTTATTTTAAGTCCAACAAAAACCAGCGACTCCAGTCGAACGGTCCTATAAAAAGGCCTGCAGCACAAAGCATAATTTGTCCAGTTCTATTTTGAAAATGATTTGAAAGAGGTTTCTCTAAAACCCGCCAGCACTTAGAGGCAAACGCTGCAACGGTTATGACATGTTTTCAAAAAAGCTGCTTTTGTGGTCGATTGAGCTTTCTTCTTTTTTCCAAGGGTTTGCTATTAAAAGTCTAAGTTTACCGAAATTGACTTTCCATTCGAACATTCAGGAACATTAAACATTCTAGCAAAGCATATAAACATCCGTGATCTTGGGCTGCCGGTGTCCCTTCTCCTGGGTTGAGTGATACTGCTACTGCTGTTTACATAAATGTGTCCTTATACTGTGTAATGCATCAATCTCCAGGTGAAATATATTATACAGTAAGGCTGGCCTAATGGCTGGCTTAAGAGTGATTCAGGCTAGTATATATTAAATATTAGTACAATAACATGCGACAAGCTTGACAGAATCGTTAATTGATATTTAACAAACATTCAAGCTGCACATTTCAGCTTTGAAATGTTCCAGAACAATGGCATGGTTTACTTCTACTGTAGTTGTTACTGTAACCACCATTTTAGATTTTTTTTAATATAAAAAAAATATATGCATCAACATGATATTCTGTGCTACATGGTAAAAAAGGTCATAATTGTAACAATAAAGTACTGTAAAACTAAGTGTTTTAAAATAAAAAACACTGTTTTTAGAAGAGAAAAAATACAGTCTTATTATTTACAGTGTGACGGTTCACATTTTTATGTTTTTTCCGTTAAATAATTAAATTAATTAAATACAAGTCTCTTAGTTTGTCTTGTGTCTGTTTGTTACATCTTACGTACGTTTATTACATTGTTTAAGTGTCATTTATTTACACTGTATTTAAGTTAAAAGCTATACTTGTGATGAACTTTGATTCATTATGTAGCTTTCTCTACCACCTAGCCTATGTTTTTATGGGTTTCAGAATATTATAACAGTATAAAATGGATTTTACTACTTTGTATATTTGATTAACAGATGATGCTAATATGACATTTTTAAACTGCTACCATATTTTGTATGGTAAAGCATAACAATTTTTAACAAACAATTCTGATATTTTTTTTCTACAGTGTGCTCAACATGCCTGTCGAAAGGGCTTAATCTTCATTGAACATAGAACATTCCTTTAAGCACACTTTCCCAGAAAATCCTCGCTCTATTCCCAGTGTCTTGACAGAGTGAATACAAATCGGAAATGTTTTGCATAGAATTTGGTTGGTTTCCACCAGATGAAGCCTTTCATTAGGAACTATTTTCTAAGAAAATGTTAATGCTCAGAAAAGTAATAATAACAATGATAATCTTTCAACTGGGATTTGGTTTTTAATGAAGTGTGCAAAATAATACAGGACAGTGAGACCTGGTTTGGCAACTCCATAAAGGTTCCTGGCATATTTTCTGAAACTTTTGGACTTTCTGAAGTATTGAGATGAAGAACAGTCCTTTTCAGGAGTAGAGGTAGACCGATTAATCGGGCGATTTTTGACATTTTTTAACATAATCGGCATCGGCCAATATCCAAGTATATCAAGCCGATTATTAGGCAGGCGCATCTGTGGGCAGCCTAGTGTTGTCGTGGAACACGTGTTTGACGCACGCTGCCTCTAGAGTCATTTTCCAGCCGAGTGAGCAGCAGACCTAAATATGAACGCGTTCATGAACTATTGTTCATTGAACGGGTTCAGGCACAACACTGACAGTTAGTTAGTAGCTGGATTAAACATGGTTAAAATGCTGGCCAAACAGTGTAAAGTGTGACTGTATTTCACTGTAGACTAAAAGGTCTAACAGCGGGATGCCATTGTCTGAAGAACAACGGATGGACGGTGCGTTGTGGTGCATTTAAAGTTGTTGTTGTAAAATATCATTTTCCCATCTGGTGGTTGTTTTTTTTCGTTCAACAGCAATTTACTAGTGAAATACGTTATTGTTAGAAGTTAAATTAAATAAAATATAATAAATCATATATATAAAAAATGTAATCTTTTAAGGTTTTTTTCTCCTTTTTTGTGATAATTAGGTTGTCCATTTGTCTTTGTCCGTCAACAAACAAAACAAAAATACATGTTTCAGGACATTTTTTGAGAGGATAAAATGTTTTTGTTGAGAAAGTTTGTCTATGTTAAGTAATTATCATTTCTTTTACATTTTATCTTTCAAATAGAGGTTAAAAACCAAGCAAATATCGGCCAAAATAAATCGTCAGCATTGATCGGCCATCGGCCGACCCGATTTCAAAAGATCGGTATCGGCGTGAAAAAAACATATCGGTCGACCTCTATTCAGGAGAGGTAGCATTGGCGTAGCTTATACAAATACAGCTGAAGTAACTCAATGCAGCACTGATACAAACAGGCTCTAAGGTTCCTAGAGTACAGAAATACTACCAGTACAATCACTAAGGAAACCTAAAATTAGCCATCTGAAGTAGACAAATGCATAATAGCAAAGAAAAAGAAATGTTTAAAGGGATAGTTGATCAAAAAATAAAACTTCTGTACATTTACTCACTCTTAGGTCGCTTCAAACCATGAAACACAAATGGAGAATAATTAAAAAGTCTTTATTCACCATGGAAGGCGAGTAAATAAACTTAAAAATACACAATTTGATTTGAGTGAACCAATCCTTTAATCATTTCACAAGAACAAAGGGCACACTAGAAGATCATGACAGCTCTTCCTCAATGGGGCAAAACCACATTCAATGTTTTTCTTAATTATATCCTGGTTTGCAGGTTCAACACAATTTTGCTTAGAGCTATTGTTGACTATAACTGGTATTCTGGCCGGACCTGAATTAGCATTTCATTGCATTGATCTCTATCCTGAAAATGTAGGACGAGCTCTCACAGGGCGGGGCCTTCAAGAAGTAAGTGCAAAGAGAACGTGTCAATGGATCCGGACATGCAAGCCAACACGCTCTCTTTCCCAACATGCTTGATCATGCACAGAAACAATAAAGCGCTTCTCTTTTCATGTCCCATTTAAAGGTGTGGTATGGCTTTGTAGTTAAGATCTGGACTAGTAACACAAACGTTCATCATCACTGAGCTCTTGAGCAGGTCACTTAACCTCAGGTTATTTCAGAGAGGAATGAATTTGTAGAAAGCAAACCAAACTGGTTTGAAAACTCAAATTCCGGCTAAATCAAAAAACAACAAGAAATGTAGGCAACATGAATGTACACTCTGTTTATACTTACGTATTCTTTGACATTTTTGGTTTTCACTGCTTTGTAGGAATAGTACGCTGGGTACAGGTTTCCAAAAACTAGCCTGTGAAAAGAAACGAAGGGGATAAATAAATAAAGGAAAACAACTGTAACACTCCAGATATTCTTCAAAAGCAGGACTAACGGGTTCGGATAAATCCTGTCTCTACGTATAGCTCTATTAAAAGCTACTCACTTCCTCGGTCTGATTGTTTACACGGTAAACAATGATTTTCCTTTTTCTCTTTTCCAAAAGAAAACAATAAGGGCAACAGAGGGGACACAAATAGAGGAGACACCTAATTTAAAATGTGTCCTGAGAGAGATTAAATCCATGTAAACTGCCGTTCATAGAGAGCAAAGGCTGCGTGTGCTTTTGAATGGCAAAAAAAAAAAAAAAAAAAAATAGTACTGGCTCTGTTTGGTTGAAAATGACAACAATTACTACATTTTAATGACAGAAAATGTTATTTTACAAAAATGTATTAAAGCTACACTGTGTGATTTTTACCCCCATTTAGCGGTGAAAAGGTATATGACCATCCAGTGAATATTAGTTTCTGTTCATCTCAATTACAATTTCGTTTTAACTCCTACGGTGGCCAATGTAGTCCAAGATTAACATGGCTTCCAGTTCGACCTTGTCCATGAGTGTTAACTCAAACGTAAACTTGAATTAACGGGTATGTCCCTCTTTGGCTAATGTACATTCAAGATGGAGGGGCAACATGGCGACCGACATTAGAACCCCTTACCCGTATGTATTTTCAATGGCATATTATACACTCACGAGAATACTTTATTACTTGAACAAAGTAAATATACATTAATGGGCACATATATTTTTGAAAGAACTAAGTGTTTTTAGCTAAGAATAAACTAAAAGAGTTACACAGTGTAGCTTTAAGCATTATACTAGAAGTCATCCTTGATGTATTAACAAAAGGCTGGAATACATTACATGATTTTTGCACAGACTTTTGCTTCGATTGAACATTCCTCTAGGTGCTATTTTATTGCATTTTTTAATCAATCAATTCAATGCCATATAAAATTAATTTAGGATTTATCATTAATGTGGAGTTAAATTGAATATGAGTTTTGATAAGATAAATCAGAGTAGGGGAAATAGCACAAGTTGACAGTTCCCTGAGGTCTTTATAAGACAGCGGTGACGTTTTTTGGCATAGTGTTCTGTGCTCGTCAGTGCAGCAACAACAGAAAAGTTCGCTACTTTGCTCCAACCTTCATTGCGTTAGAACTGGTTACACCGTTGTAAACCAAATGGCGGCGCTGTGGGTGGAAACGTGCAGTTTAAAGGGCGGTAATATTATAATAATAATATCCCATTCCTACATCAGAAGCAGAGCGAAATCAGTTCAGCTTAATTTTAGACATGCTTGCGGAGAAAGGCTTACCAAAACAAAGTTCTGGGTTGTCACTTTTCAGGGTTGGTAGATGCACAGGGGACCCAAATATAGCATGATATGTGCCCTTTAATAAAACAGGTACGTTCTGTCAAATTAAGACGGACTGCAAAAATCCATTATTCTTGTGTGTTTTCTCTCTCAAATGTTAACGTTCACTTATGACATGACTGTTCACTTGCAAATACATGGTAACTTTGACACATAGGTGTGTATATTTAACCATTCAAGCCCAATTAGGTAGCAAAAAGCACCCAGTTCACTTCTCATGCGCTCTATGAGTAGCACAGCAGCTGAGACGCGGGACTCAGTCGATGCTTAAAAATGCATACATAGCAACTTCAAGTGAGCTTAACCGTGATAGAGAAGCTTAAAAAGTTTTAGATCCTGTATTTAGCGTAGTCCACTTATGATCTGATCGACCACAACGTATCTTAATACCAGCTGTAAACTTGGCCTCAGTGTGAGATCCCCAGTGATTTATTATATCAAGCCCAGTTTTTCTCTTTAACCATTATACAAGTTGTCAAGTTTACGATACCGGTTTTAGTTAAAGTAGGAGTAGGACATTTAAGTAGCTTTTGTAAACATAGCTTAGAAAAAAACCCAAAAACATTACTGGTGAGTTGGGGTGGAGCCAAACCTGAATAATACGGTATTCGGAAAGGCAGAAATAACGTGTTTTTTGCGAATACTTATTTCGAGCAAATAGTTTTAAAATATTTGTATTTGGGAACAAGAAGAACTTTATATCAAAAAGCTGCGTTTCCTCACAAGACTGCAGTGCGTGTCTGACAGAGTGACTGACACAAGCTGCTCAACACAGCAACAGTGAGGGCTCGGCTGAGCGAAAAAACACTTAACTGCATCACTATTTTTGTTGAATAGATTTTTGTACCTTAAATGGATTCCGGAGGCAGTTTATAACTTTCGGGAAGCGGAGTTTGACGGGGAGATTATTCCATTTTCGCAAGTCAGAGGCGCCCGCGTCATTGGATGTGCACTTGCCGCAGCACAGCCTATGAGTGAGCCAGATGCTCAATGTACTGGCTGTGCAGCGGCAAATGTGTTTTACATAAAAGCTTTAGTAAATCGAGGAAAAGGAAGCGTTTATGTAAAACGAATTTGCAGCTGCACGGCTAGCACATTGAGCGTCTGGGTCACTCATAGGCTGTGCTGCGGCAACTGCACATCCAGTGGCGTGCGACCAATGAGCTAGCCCTACATTACACGCAAGAACCCGAACAAGAAGGTGTGGCCTTACTCGAATACAAATACTTTCCCCCCTCAACAAATACAAATACCGGCTGCTTTGCTCACCCCTACTGGCGAGCATCTTGACAATACAAAGCCACTGAAATATTTTAAGATGTCAGTGCAAGTTGCCTTCAGTTAAAACAGCTCAAATATGCATTTTAGTCTGAGACTAGGCTTAAGCTGACTTAGGTTTAGGCTTAAGTCTGTGAAACTAGGCAGTAGTGTAGTCCAGATCCAAGCTTAATAGTTTAACAGATCTGTATGAAACAGTGACCAATAATTTAACTGAGAAATTAGCCACTTTAATTGGATTTAATGTAAACTTGAGTTGGAGATGGAAAAGAGGTCACACTGATTTGTTCATTTCAGTGAATCACTAAGATATTCCATTTCATCCTATGAGCGACTGACCTGAGACAAGCCAATAAACCGGCAGATGGGCCCAGAGCCAGCCCTTCATCTGCGGCCTGTCACTCTCACACGAGCCCAATTTATTATGTTCCGCTCGGCTAAATTTGTTTGGGATCTTGCGGAAGAACGCATACTAACCTCCTGCTTGTGCAAGACTCCCATTGTCACAGAGCAATTAGTGCACGTTCAGAGGTGCCAAACACAGAACAAATCCCTTTCTCTTCTGAACCCCCACAAATAAGTTCAGGGGGATAAACAATGCAAAAATAGGGAGACACAGATCCGGAGCTGATTTATGGCCCTAAAGTGCCTGTGGCCCAAATTCCATGTGCTGCTAACAGAGGAAAGCTGCTACTAGCATTTATTTTGACATGCCACGCAGACTTTTCCGAGGTTTCACAGGCAGGAATCAGGCTTGATGTTTCCCAGATGATAATGCTGCTCTCTGAAACCAGTGTTTCACTTTCATACCAAATCTGGGCCTTGAAAAATGTCATTTCCCCATGGGCTAAAAGAGTCCTTCAAAGAAGCTTTTTGCTGAACTCGGGCTGAAGCATTCCCACTGTTTTAGAAGTACTGTCTTTGCAGACAGACAGGCTTCTTGACTCAGCACAGTGCATCTAAATTTGGGGACAGCTTCTGCTGTTTTCGCTGCCAATTATAGACAATGTGTTGACCCAGAAATTCAGGCAACTCTACTATCAGCCTGAAAACTTGACAACATTAACAGTAACATATCTGTCATTTATTTATATAGTGAATTTCAATAAACCGCCTGATTAGAAAACATAACACACACAAAAAAAAAAAAATCATTTTCTGTAGTCTATGGGGTTAATATAGGGCTGCAATAACTAATTGACACCCTAACAGATTATCAATTAATCTTGTCAATGCAAGGAAAACATCTGCCAGTCGTGTCACTTCATAGACATGAAAAACACATTTCTATGTACAAAACGCATCTGGAAAACAAGAGAACGCAGAGCGAGATGATTCTGAACCCAAGTTTGTCCTAAACATGAGAAGGTGTCATATTAAGTGCTTTAAACAAAACCATAGTTTAATGCAGCTTTCCCAGTCAAAATTATTTCTATCCATTAGACTAGAGTGTAAACTGCGCCGCTTATACATGTGGGAATTGTTTACATCAGAGTGTGCACGTGATTTGCGCAGTACATATGCAGTGTTTAAACGGTTTATGTAAAATAAGCTAATGCACGTACTAAAAGTCTAAATTTGAATTTATTATTTTTCACGGTATTTTGAAGTGCCCGTGATAAAAATATCGTGCATACCATAACCATTACCGCGATTTATCGCATTACCAGATACCGGCAAATGTCTAGAAATAATCTACAGGTTATTCTATTATCAAAATAATCTTTAGGTATTATTTAGCATTAGGGGTTTGTTCAGATTACTAATCCCAAGAAAGACAAATAATAGTGTTGTTTGTCTTAGCAAACACCCAAGGGGGCTTGTGAGAATTTTAATACATAAGAATTATAACACTATGCCGTGGATGAGCACAGCACACGTTCACACAGTTCTCCCTGTTGCACGGTCCTCATCCAAGGACCCACCTTGGCAGCAGTTTATTTTCCTGTTGCCATAGAAACAGCAGAGGCACCAGGCTGTAACAATGGTGTTCGGCTCCACACATCTTTCAACCCTTCCCCCCTCCACTCTCCCTGAGCTCTGTAATTTACAGATCTGTTACTCGCATTCATGTTGCTCTGTGTGCCTAATAACTAGTATTTCTCTTTCATTCGACGATTACTTTAATCAGCGCCAAATGAGGAAATTCACCTACAGCGTAGCTCAGCAATTTATGGGGAGCTGCAGTAGGCTAGAGTGACTGTAGACAATGGATAACAGGGTTTTCCCACAATTCAATTCTAGTCTGTGGACCAGGAACCAAACTCAAATAAACAGATAGAGGTTCTATCTTCTAAACAAGCAGAACGTTTCCAGCAGCAAGTCATTTGTCTTTCTACACTGAAAAAGAAAAGGCTGTACGATGTCACAATCACAGCCAGAAAAAAATGAAAAGCAAATTTGAGGTAATGAAATGTGTTTTCTTTCATTTTTTTATTTTAATTTGCAAAACTTAGAATGTTGCTATAAGGTGGCAATGGTACCAAACTTTTAGTCGTCACTCATCAGTAGTACAACTTTGCAGTCCTCAGTACCAATTTCAGTACCACAGTAAAAACTGTTGAATAAAAAACTTAAAAAAATGTTCTTGTTTAGTCTTGTCTGTTGGCATTTAAATACGTTTGTCATTCCAGAAACTTTTGGAGTCTACATCACAGCATAGTCTCTAAAGCACAAGCTCGCTGAATTCTGCAATCTCGCAGAAACTCCTGATAAAAAAGATGTTTTAATTGTACAATAAATCTCTTATTTACATTGTGTTAACAATTGTCGACCAATTATAAAACATCATATGTTTTCAGTGTTAAGAGGATTCAGACTAACTAAATGACTAGCACCTCTGATATGCTATTGCGTTCACGCACTCAACAGATATGATTTTGGCTACCGTGATCAACGCTTGTAAAAACACGATGTAAATAGAAACCTTCGACACTCAAACAAACAGAAATGGTTGTACCTTTAACTTTTTTAACTTAGTACCTTTTTTAACTTAGTACCTTTTTTTAGTACCGAGTGGTACTGGTAGTTAACACTTAACCCTAGGTGCTATGGTATTTTTACTAGTAACTTCTGGTAACTATGTTTGCGTATCTTCACAGGCAGATGGGACAACTTGCAGTGCAAGTTATGTGGAATGAAACTAATGAAAGAATTACTGGAAAATAAAATAAAAACAAAAGTAGTATTTTGTTGAAAGAATAAAATAAATAATATACTTATAAACGATTAAACACAACTAAAAATAGTGAAATCCCAAAATTGCAATAACCCTGAATAGGACACCATGTAAACAAAGACAGAAACTTCTGAAAAATTATGCTTACATTTATGGTTTAATAAATGAATTAACTCTCATTTAATTTGATAAAATAGTAAACTGTTACTATTACTCTCTCAACCAAGCAAAATATATAGTTTGGCGTTATCACCAACAAACCAACAGCTCTGCAAATTTTTAGATATCAGTCACGCAAGTTACTGCTGACTCATTTGTCATGGAAACCCAAATATACAGTACATTTTATATATATATATATACACAGTATATATATATATAAAAGACTTTAGTAACATGTCTGACGCTATGAATAATTAAATATGTAGGATGAAATATGATGAGGCCATGCTCTCTTTACCAGCATGGAAAAAGCTGATCAGTGTGTTTTGTCAGACATATTTCATGTATTATATAAACAATTATATTGAACAATTAATACATAAATTCTTTATAAAGGGCCACTCATTTGATTATTTTTAACATTTATTTGAATCCTGGTTGCAAGCAACATAAGACTAAGGACATGAGTGTCTCACACTATGTAACACTTGAGTTAACCTGCCATAATGTTAATCAATTATGAATGCGTTTGGCAACCTTAAACTAAACTGTTTTTGTGTTGTGCCTAACAAACAAACACCCCTTAATAACAGGTTATACCCCTTAACTCGTTTGGGACACATCTCACTCTACCGGTTAAGAGGTTTATATCGTTCGTTGCAGGGCATATACAGTCAGACCGCCCAACCCCAAGACTGTGCAATAAAGACATAAAATCTGCTCAACTTGTAGGTTTAGCAATCACTTTGTTGGAAGGCTTTGATTCTACTCATGGTCTGCCTGTGGCCTCTCTTCCCACAAAAAAAAAAAAACTAAAAAACTTGCCAGTCCTCTATGAAACACAAATAAATGTGCTGCACATCAGTCTTTCATTGTTCCCACAACAAGGAGTTGGTTTTCCTCCAGTGGGCCCCTAGAGGAAACAGGACCTGCACTGAGGGGTCTTGAAAGTATTTTCGTGAAGCAGGGTATCGTTCACAGGGTGTGCAGCTGAAAAAATAAAATCTTCAGATGGGCCTTGACACTCAGGTTTAGGTCAACGTTGAGTTTCCTGCTAAGAAACAGCAAGGCAATGCTCACTCTGATGATGCTGCTGATTTGAATTACTTTGAGCCAGATGCTGAGAGTCTTCTAAAGCGCATATGGTACAGCTCTCGGGACTAAATGAATGTAGCCTAAAAAAGTCTGACAAGGTGCATAGCCATTAGACATTTGAACTAGTGTAGCCTCTACACCTTGAATACTGCAATGGTTTCTCCCTAAAAAAAGCACAAACTTATAGGGCACCTATTATGGAAAATTCACTTTTACATGGTGTTTGAATAAATGTGTGTTGGCAGTGTGTGAGCAAAACCACCCTAGAATGATAAAAATCCACACAGTGGTATTTTTACAATCTCAATAAATCATATGCACTGTCTCAGAACGAGCTGTTCTAAGATTCAGCGCTTTGTGACGTAGAATTGAGCAAGGGGTTTGATTGACAGTGTGGTTGTGGCATAGACCCCGCCCTCAGTGATCTGTACACCATCCTCCATTGTTTCAACGGCAGCCGGTAATATCTCTTGGAAACATAAATGTTCTGTCGTGGGTTAATCCTGTTGTTGTGGCTTAAAAGTTAATCCTCGTCTACTGTTTGCGATCCACCGACAAGTTTTGATGGCATTTTCTTTTCCTCGTACCCAAAGAACCATAAGCACCATCTACTGTCAGAGAGTTTCATTCAGTCTGTCTGCTTTTGTTTTGTACGGTTGTCTTATGTAGCATTTATTTCACATATCTTTTTGTTTAAGGCCAGTTTGCCTTATAAAGCAAAAAACAAACAAATTAGCCTTAAAGAAGAAAAAAACCAAAAAAAAAAAAAAACAACAACAACAGGTATCAGAATCGGCCAATTTGCCTTTATAAAAAAGGGGAATCAGAATCCATCATGAAAAATCATGATTGATGTCCCTAAAAATCCCTTAAGCAGAACCTAAAAAAGGCCACTAGAACTAAATATAGGAAGGAATCAGAAAAACAGTTCTAAAGTTGATGCATAAACACCAATGATCCTGCCCAAAGAAAACAAGGAAAAACCTGTTTTCGACATTTCTACGTTATATCTAATGCTAATATCAATGCTTACTACATTTTAAAGACCAGTGAGTTTTGGGTGTGTATTTTGTACATTCATAGTGCTTTAAAATTAAAAAAAAAAAAAAAAGGCAAAGTAGAAAAACACAACACAGCCATTAAAGTGTCTACGCAGCAGAAAAGCCCACGGCCACGGCATCAGACAATGTGGTCTTGATTTCTCATCAAGTTCCTAGAAGCTTACAGTTATCGTCCTATATTTGAACTTCTACATCGTACATGCTGTAAAATCTTAACCGCAGAATTATAACCTTAAACTAGCAAGGTGGACTGTAATTGGTACTTGCTGGTTTCTGGGACTGACTACATCTCCTGCTAAATGTTTACTAGTGACTCTTAGACGCTAAAGGGGACCACGTTGTGTCTTGCCCACAAAATGTGTCTTGCTCACAAAATAAACCTGTTGTCTGCAAATGAGCTACCAAACAAGGGCAGACACACCAATCATTCAAATCTTTCCAACCCTAAAGGCAAATCTGCTCTTTTTGATGTAGAGATCGACTGATATTTTTAAAGAACAATACTGATTTATTTTTTATGTTTGAGTGTTTAATAAGCGCTTTACACTGATTATTTAATATTAATTAATGTAACTATTAATTGTTTGGTGTCAGCTTCCGACACAATAGTTCATAAAAAAAAACAGATTACAACAATAAACTAAATATGAACATTTTATCGCTGATAGTTTGTTTTATAATTGATTACACAGTTTCACGGACATGGCTTAACCATAGACCCAGATAAAAAAATGCATGTTTGTTTTAACTGAAAGCAACTTGTCTTGCACTGACATATCTTAAATTATTTTGTTTTGTCTTTAGATATACATCAGTAAAAGTAAAAAAAAGCTACTTAAATGTCCTATTTTAACTAAGTCCTAATCCTGGCTTAATCCAAGTCGTGTCTGTGAAACTGGACCAATAACAATTAATGATGACTATTATAGCTACACAAAGTTTAATCTAAATGGGTGCAAATATATTGTACTTTGTTTTAGTGTATGTCTTACTTATCTGTTTAAAATGCTATACATTACACAAATATTAACTGATGTAAAATGCTAAATATTTATGCAAACATTACATAAGCAAGTTACATAACAAATACTGTTGTTTTCCATTATGGACAAAACAATTTCATGTCATGTAGTGAAAGGCATGATATCAAAGAAATAAGGAACTGATTTAATTAGAAAACTGTAAATCTGTAGTTTAAATGATGTGATATCTAATGTTGAAATAGGTTAAGCAGACAAACTTTTTGATTCCCTGACTGGAAAGTAAAAATCACTTTCTTTCTATTATGTGTTCAGACCTGTCGAATGACATCAACCATAAGTTAACATGAAGGAGAGAAAATGTTCAGAGAGGTGAGTCAGAAGTTTATGACAGCTCCACCTTAACCCAAAAGTCCCAGCAAGATTTTTTTGTAATAGGCGTCAACCCAACAACATTCATGGATACGTCCATTGCTATATGAGTAACGTTAATTCCATATCTGACACAATAACCTCGCATAGAGCGGTCCAGTCGTGATGGCAAACTATATGTATAGCATACAAACACTGGCTTGCTGCTGCTGGTTCTTTTTCTTCTAAATAACATTGATCATTCCCAAAGGTCATGTTTAAAAACGTAAAACGTATACATTTAACAATCAGAGCAAATATACATTCAAGAAGAAGATAAATCTACTTTTACAATATTCAATGTGCTAAGTTAACGTTATCATGGATGCTAGGCTAACCAGTAAAATGAAGAGCTAATTAAATACCCGAGCTATAAACAATAAACTACTTATATGGACAAAATGAGGAATCAACTCACACGACAGATCTTGATATGATCCAGGACACCATATTTTCCTCAGGATGGAGCCGAGCAGGGAGAGATGCTAGCTAAAGCTAACCTTACTTCAACTTCAGTGTAACTAGCTAATAACTTCAAACGACGACAAACATTAACGGTCTCCTGAGAGCCTCCGCTCGTTCATTACTCAGTATTACGCACAAACATCTCGTATAAAACTAACTAAGAGGCCAAAATTTGTTAAACTAATGCCACTCTGTTGTACCCATCTTCTTGCTCTCGATCAACACAACACCGCTGCCGTTTCTGTTAAAGGTGCGCTTTCACGTTGACGTCAGAAATAATTTGATTTATGGGCTTGCTCTTCCTGTTACGTTATTGGTTAAAATGACTTGTTTACATGAAACTCGGCCATGGGTTGGCTAGTTGAAATGTTTGTTAAGTGACGTCGTTTCTAAAACGCAAACATCAAACTCTCAACGCATTCGACATCGGGAGGAGGTACAGACCAATCAAATATAAAAGCGTTGAAAATAAAAACTCTTTGATCTTGTTGGCATTGTAATAAAAAACAGATTGGGGGAATGTTTTCAACCTACTTACCCAATACTAACACTTTCTATTATATTTTCTATTCTTTCTATATGTAAAAAAAACAAAACACCTTGCTATATGGGGTATAGCCTACTGTGCTAAATGAAATGGGACTTGTCACTTAGCACTCAGCCTACATATTGTTGCTTTTTTGTTCGTTCAACAAAACAAATCTAAAAAACAAACAAAATCTATCTATCTATCTATCCATCTATCCATCTATCCATCTATCCATCTATCCATCTATCCATCTATCCATCTATCCATCTATCTATCCATCCATCCATCCATCCATCCATCCATCCATCCATCCATCCATCCATCCATCCATCCATCCATCCATCCATCTATCTAGTGTTGTACACTAGGCTTTCATAAAAACTGAATCATGAATTAAGATTTTAATTTGATTTTAAGCTAATTCTTCAAAAGGGATAAGAGTTAAAAGTGACAGATTTGAACCCTAGACCTGCTATTTGAACAAGAATCAATGTTATATCTTTCGAAAAATAATCAATGTTACTGTAATATACTGTAAGCTGCTAAATGTGTAAAAAAAAACTTTACACATTTAAAAGCTATAATATAGATTAAATGTATGCATTTTATGTCTATAGTTCCTGAATCACAATAGTTAGAAGCTGTAATTTCCATCTTTTATATTTTCTTCTTTCATGTTGATTGATACACTTTGTGTATATATCTATCAATATATGTCTTGCTAATACATAATGGCAATCTCTCCATGAAAGGAAGAACAGTAGGGATGCTTTCTGACAGATTGATATCCATCAGGGATATGCACACATCCACCAACAGATGACATCTGTGAATTATGTTCTCTCTTGGTATCTTATTGTTCCTATCCGAGAGACATTCTACGTCTTGCAGCTTCATGAGCTTCAACATCTGAGGTGTTACGCATCTAATACTCTTTTTGTGTAAGCACACATTGGGCTAATTTACAGTAATAACACTTTTTACTCTGAGCAGAAAGTAATTATTTCTTTCAAGCCTATCCTTTATTGGCAAAATAATGGATCTATATTGAAGTGAGCCTTCTTATACAATTCAACCAAGCAATCGCAGTACAGTACATCTTTTATGTGTTACTGCGTGTGAAGAAACATGAAAAATGTATTACTATAGTATTTCTAGTATTCTCTCCACTGCTGCTTTCTATCATTGATTTTTAAGAAGCTTCTAATTGTAAGTCTGCCCTATTTCATTAAACTTTTAAGTCAGACAGAGATTAGCCATCCTTTTTTCAGCAGAGTGTCCGCAGGACCAATAACCATCTCAGCCGCACTATGATTTGTGATTCTATCAGCCACGAGATATCTTCTGTTCTGACCTAGGTGACACAGACTGATTGTGTCCCGTGGATATGCTTCCCTCTATCAGTTCTCCTCTTGTGTCATCTGCGAACAGCAAACCGGTGAACTATAAACTGGCAAAAGTGTGAAGCGTGAACATGGTTGTATGACATAATGAAAATAAACATATATGCAGTGTATTTTCATTGCATTATTAAAATATCCAAATCATATCTGTAAAGAATTATATTATAAAAATCATATTTTTCATTATTTTTAATAATATTTTTGATTTATGTCCTTTCTTAATGTTCCTATTTGGTTCCCAAACTTGATTGGTTTATTTATAAGATTGAGATTCATTTCATTACAACGGCAGGCCATTTGTCAATTTAAATTTCAGCATAAAAATCATTCTGTGTCATATATTGATGGAATATATCATGTCTGACCGGTTTTGACCACTGAATGAATACAATTTGCTATGATAAGAAATTAATAAGAAATTAAAATCTGATATGAAAAAAAAAAAAAAAACCCTAATTGTTCAGACATCTGAACATTGTTTTGAGAAAAAAAGTCTAATTTGAGAATTTAGCCAAAGCGATTGAGAAAAAAATTGTAATGTCATTTGGTCAATTAGTTCTATAATATTTAATTTATTGATTGATTATTTTTTATTGTTTGTTTTTATGTTATTCGTTCCTACGGATAAAAACAACAACAACAACCAAGCACTATTTTCAGCACACTGGAGTGTAGTAGAAAAGCAGCCAGTCTCCCATTGAGAATGAATCTGTCTGGCGGACGTAGAAATCTCCCCGTTGCGGTTTTACATGGACCTTTGAGTTTTTCAGGCGGAGGGATACCAGTTTTACGTTCGCTGTGATACGGTCCTGTGTTCAGTTTCACGGAGCGCGAGAGCGACCATTCGCGGGTGGAGGCTGAGAGAAATTTAAATCCCCCGGGTTGCGGTTGACACGCAAAAGGCGAAACAAATCACGGTTATTTCTTTCTTTTTGTTCAGAACGCAGTTTAACGGTGTAAATGTGCGGTCGGTAGGGTGCGAGTGTTGAAGTTTTCGAGGGTTTTCGCCATGGTGGTCGGGAAGCGGTTCCTGTGCGTGAGCGGAGAGGAGCCGCTGGAGCCCGCGCACATCGCTCGCTGGTCATGGCGAACCGGAGTCATCCGAGCCGTCACTCACCGAGACCACGACAATCCCGAACTCACGGTAAGACAATGGATAACATTTTGCGATAATGACTTATTAGGAGCGGTAGATCTTAGTGAGAACATGGCATTTTTGAACAGGCTGTTAAACGTCAGCATATTCTAGCTTTTGATCGTTTGGTAACTTACATTCATTCTGGCTTGGAAGTCAGTCGGGCAATGGAGCCGTGTAGTAGAGCTATATTTGGATCTCAGTCATCGGTGGTGGATTGTAAAATTAGTTGTCAGCTTGTGACTTTTACACATTTTGAAATCCGAATGATTTTTTTTGTAGCCTATACTAACAATTAACGAGATTTTTAATGAAGGGTCTTCTTTAGCTTTAGTGTTTTGCATCAGGATTACTCATTGAAATATTATAGTATTTTTTCTTTGTCAAGCTTGTTATAAACATGATATAACATTTTGCATACAGTTAACCGATCTGTGTAAATGGACAGGGTCATAAAACAATTCTGCCATGTTTTCATTCATTCATGATGAATATCATTTCATAATTTAACGTTACTTTACCCTCCGTTATAGATAATTTTGCGTTATTATTTTGTCAGTGGTAAAATGTAATAACATATGTCTACCCACCTTAAAATATTGGTTTTAAAACAACAACGCCGTTGATGTGATTATAGGTCCTTTACCCTTAATTATAAAATTTGTTTTTTTGTTATTTAATTTAATTTGATTAGCTGTTTTGAAGCTGTTTTTAAAATGATTATTCATTTTTTAATCTTTACAAGTACAGCTAGCTTAATATGTGCCCCTCTATTTAAACGATCCTATTGACGGTTCAATAAAATAAGCAATGTCAAATATTGTGATTACATGAGCATCAAATATAAATAATTATTAATGTAATTAATGTAATGTAATGTAAAATGCACACAGTGATACTCTTTAAGGATTGTTTTAGCATTTATTTGCATGTATTAAATGGATTAAAAAATCGAATGTATTCAATGTCACTTTTGATCAATTTAATGCATCCTTGATGAATAAAACAATTAAAAAGAGTGTCATTGTTTCCACAAATATGTTAAGCAACAAAAGCTGTTTTTAACATTGTTAATAGTAATAATGATAGTAACAATAAATGTTCCTTGAGCAGCAAATCAGCATATTAGAATTATTTCTGAAGTTTAGCTTTGCCCTCACAGGAATAAATGCAATTTTTCCAATTTGTTAAAATGGAAAACAATTATTTTAAATTGAAGCAATAATTTACAACATTGCTGTTTTTACTGAATTTTTGCAACCTTGATTAGCATATGATACTCTTTGTAAAAACGTAACAAAATGATAATGTTTTCAAACTTTTGACAGGGACTGTTTATTTCAAATGTAGGCGGTTACACTGATTCCTTATCCAGTTGAAGCAAAATCCTGCTTGGTCTTTGATTAGTTAGACCGCTCTCATGTGGTGGAGATGAATGGAGCGGCTCCTGTCATTGTGTGTGTAGAGTAAGTGTGTACAGTACGCTAGCCGTTTGTTTTCAGGGCTGTGTCCTGAGGTCACCAACTGTATGCTGCTAATCAGCACAGAACTTTCCACACTCAATAGCTGATGCCCTGTAGCTGAAAGTTCAAGCTGTAAATGCTTTTGTCTGTTTGCTTTTTTGGGGGGGAAAGCAATAATTAAGCTTGTAGTCTGGTGGGGCATTTGTGTTGCGAGAAATGAAAATAGAATATAATATAGTCACATGGAAACTCGTCACTTAAACAAAACCAACAAAACTCCATAAATTAGGCTACATTAAAATTAGAAAAATGACTGTAAAAGCCAACAAGTTGTTTTTATTGTTTAAGTCCAAGTCTGGCGTAGAATATTGTCGAAAATCTTAAACTATTTACATGGTCTAGTCTATTTACATAAGTGTTTCCATGAAATAGCAGACTTTGTACAACCATGTAATGCAGTATGTTATTTGCACAGTAAAATGGCCCATTTAGTACACAGTAAAATGACCCAAAACCACATATTATTTAGTTTTTCCCCGTGACATCGCACCACTGTTATTTACAAAGATGTCTGGGATGATGGAAAAGTATCTGATTGCTAAGAATACCAATGCAGCTTTCATTTACAGCCCTCAATCACATTGACAACAACTGGCTGTAAAGAGCTGGAAGTGGCCATGTGATTTGTGGCTTAAGAAAACAGCTCGTAACACGAGACCGGGGGTCGTTCACCGCCCTCCCCCACTGCAGCACAGCATAAAGGCCGCTATGTTCAGCCGTTCCCCTGAACCAGAGTTAACCTACAGAGAAATTGCTCTTTGTTCAGTCTGACTGACACTATAACCCTGCACTGTTTTCCTTTGACAGTGAGCCTCCGTTTCCATATCTTCTCTAAAAAGAGCACTCTTCCATTGTGCACCTTTACTTTGGGAATGACAAGAGTTCTTTCTGAGGCTGGGCAATGACACATTTCCTATCTTAATTGTCAGTGGATTAGGCTTACATAACATAAAGAATCCCTCTTGTAATCTTTTCACGGTTGTAAAATAGTGGTTTAGAATGAGAGATATAACACTTATCGAAGAGAGAGGTTTATGGCTGGCAGGCTTCGAGTTTAAACATTAATGGTGGCCGGGAGCGTTAACCTGAATGCAGAGCATTCTAGCGTGTTCCCTTTCGGGGACGAATTGCGACAGTAGTTTGCCTGGAGTGTTGAAGGACGCCGCATAAGTAAATGCAATGAGGTGGAGAAACATTGAACTTTTGTACTTTATTATTGAGTTAGATTTGCCCTCTCTCTCCTGTACATTCCTCGTCTGTCTTTCAATTGAATGTGTTAAAGACTAAAATCATTGGTTGGTGATGGCGCAGTGGATAAGACATGCCTTTGGTGTGAGAGACCCGGGTTCGAATCCACTGTGAGACACCAATGTGTCCCTGAGCAAGACACTTAACCCCTAGTTGCTCCAGAGACATGCGACCTCTGACATATATAGCAATTGTAAGTCGCTTTGGATAAAAGCATCAGCTAAATAGATAATTGTAAATGTAAATGGACAGTCCGTGACTATATACATATCTAAATAGAATCCTAGCATACTGTTTGTTCGTAATCAAGAAACCTACTTAAAAAGGATATTTTTTTTTTGCAGTTATGTTGGGCCTTATAATTTCCACAATGTTGAAAACACAGATGGAATAGTGGAATCTAATAATAAAAATTGGGGGAAAAGAATTTAGATGAATGAAGTGGAATCTATTGTGCCCTTGTGTAGTGATGCTACTGCTTTAGAAATGACAGATTTCACCTTTAGTCTAAGCTTTATAGCTTTTGTCATCCCAATCTAATAATCATAATGTAGATTAAATGTCACAGATGAAATGCTTTATTTGGCATTAGCAGGCCAAGTTGATTGCATTGTTGGGCTATGGTATCCTGTCAATTGCCCTCTGGTTGTATGCTATATATTTGTGAAGCAGCTCACTTATTCAGTGCATATAAAACAAATGAGCAGAATATGCACAGTATGCATATAATATACCACATGCTTTTGTAATTGCAACCATTGTATTCCCAAACAAACATGCAGCTGTATTGGTGAAATGTGCTGTTTAATCACTACTTTGGCTTTCACATCTTTCCACTGACGAAACCTTTTACATTTTTATTTTTCTGTAAGTTCTCCAATAAAGATCAAATAATGCCACACTGCTGTTATCCCACTGCATGTGACACACGCTTTCCCCTGAATCTTTCCTGTTTAACCTGGACTGACCCCTGTCCTGTACCAGCCAGTTTCCTCTCTGGAAAAAACAACAACTACTCTTCATTCAAATGTTAATGTGCTCCCCTGTTACAAGAACAATTACATGATAATGTTTACTCATTGTTGTAGCAATTTTATGCACTATGTAGTTGATATTTTTATTTCTTGCTGTGTATTATTTCAATTAGACATCATAATTAGACTTGTGATGACATACTAGATCATGAAGTATGTCACGTCAGACAATTTTAAATTTAAAAATTTTTATTATTTTTTAACTTATAGATGTAGTGACGTGTCAGTCCAGTGATTGGACTGTATCCCATAGCAACAACAGCCGAGCGGTGTGAATCACCGCTCAGGTTTGTGCTTACCTCTCAAATGCAGAAACTGACACATTTCATAAGGATGAGCCACCATACCAACCTAACTCAACTTGGTATGAATGGTATTTTGGGGTTACAAAACAACAATTGCTAATTGCTAAATACACAATACTAACTATAACTGTTTATGAATCAAATGTAAATCGCTCCTGATGAATAGAATGAACATCATAGTTGCTTGCAAATCCTTTTCAGCTAACTTGCAAACTACCAGTAATGTAAGTTATTGGTACTTTTCTTTTGTTATTTATATATAGTGAAGTGATTTACACTGCGACTACTTGCCTCCACACTTGAGCATGCAATTGAAGACGCAAACAATTGTGCAACGCCACATGCACTGTATAAAGTCTTGACAGGACTGTAGAGTGCATTTCTTGAAAGACTTTTTATTTCGTAACGTTACGGAGGTAACATTATAATGACACTGACACTGTTATATAGCCTGACAACATCCCTTCGGATACTGAATCAGGACAACACGTTTTTCTCAGGCCCTCTTTACTTAAACTGCGTCTGACAGAAGAGTCAACAGTTTTCACAGCTTTTGAAATAAAAGTCTCGGTTCAGAAAAAGGATGCTGCCCATAGGAAGCACACAGCAAGGAACTCACTAGGTTTTGGAACAGCGCCTATGTCTTACTGTGAAATGGCTGCACTACAGAACGGTTTAGTGCAATTATGCATATTTAAGCATTTAATTGTGCTAAATGTACACAGGTGAAATCATTAGGGTATCTGTACAGTCAATGAATCAAGAATGTTAGTACATTTATTAGAGCTGCATTGGCTGACCTCTTTGTGTGTACGGACACATTAGCGATGGAGGTCTGAATAGCTCTGGGGTGATGCAATGAGTAAATAGTGTCATACATCCTGTTATGATCAGCAGTA